TGAGTTCAAGCCTTTCCTCTTTGGTAATTAATGCCGCTAATTGCCTTTTTCTTATTTAAAATTTGGTCTTTCATTTGCTGAGTTTGTTTAGCGGGAACAGTAAAAACTTTAAGAGTTGGAAAGTAATAAGCAAGAGTTTCAATTGATCCAAACAATTTAAGCAAATTAATTATATCTTTACCTCTATTAACTGGACCAACATAATTATTTATTTCATAAACAACTATATCAATTGAGTATTCTTTCACTAATTTTAGTATTTTATTAAAATGCTCTTTTCAGTCCTTATTTTCGCATTTTAGGAAGGTAATTTCGCTTCCAATTATCAAACATATTCCAGTAGTTCCTGTTCCGGAAGGGTCTATGGCTAGTATTCTTATTATTTTTTTAATTATATTTCTCAAAATATTTTTTTACGCGTGTATGTGTGTAATATCTGCTGGTTTTTCGGCCGACCGACGGGGGCTAAACCGAAGTAATAGAAGACTGAAGGTGGAGCCTCCCAGAGGGAGGCCTCCCCTTTTATCCAGTTATCTAATTGACTTGGTTTTCCCCGTCTGGGTCGGGTGCTGCCGCCCCCTTTTCATTTTGAGGTTGAGGCTGGGAAGTTGCCTCTGTTGGCTCGGATCCGACTGATTAAGAGTCAGGTGCTCTAACCATTGAGTTAACAAGGCTAAAATAAGTTTTTATAATTAATTTTAGGCTTCCAAAATTTCTAACTCTTTATTGTTTTCATTAAAAAAAAGATAAAGATTTATTTCTTCTTTATCTGCTTTACCATAGCGAATAGTAAATTGTTTTTTTTTGCTGTAATTTTCCTTCCCTTAATAATTCTTTAATTCGGGGATGGTTTTCGTTGACATAAATAACCTTCCAATCGTAGGGGTCACCTTTGCGAAAATCTCTAAAAACATGATAATTAATGTTCCCTTCTTTTAAAAAGGCTACGTAATCAAACTTCCTCTCTTTTTTATCGCCTGGTTCTGGATTATCACTTGGTTTCTCTGGCTTTTGCGGTGGTAAACTATTCTTTGGTTCTGATGGTCTATTTTTTACGGAAATTCTTCCTAAAAAAAAAGACTCCGACAAGGAGAAGCAAAACGCCAAGGATACTAACAATGATTAATGTTTTTTTTTTTTTTTTCAACATTATAATTATTTTTTAGTTTCTTCCTCCTCTCATTCCAAAGAACCAGTTTGATATTCAGTTAACCGAGTTTCAAAAAAGTTTTTTTCTTTATTTAAATCGACACTCTGCGACATTCACGGAAAAGGATTAGAAACAAAATATAATTTTGGCAAGCCAATTCTTTCCAAACGACGGTCCGCTATATATTCTACATATTGACTAAATTGTTCGGCATTAATTCCTACCATTCCTTCCGGACAAGCATCAAAGGCATATTTTTTTTCTAACTCGACTGCTTTTTTAATTAATTCAATGATTTCTTTTTGAAATTCGGGAGTTCAAACTTGGGGATTTTCACTTTTAATAGTGTTAATTAAATCGCAACCAAACCCTAAATGTAAACTTTCATCCCGCATAATAAACTCAAATTGTTGACCGATACCAACCATTTTATTGTTCCTTTTTAAAGCTAACATCATGGCAAAACCAGCGTAGAAAAATATCCCTTCCATTATCACATAATAGCCAATTAAATCATGGAGAAAAAGTTGAATATCGTGGTCATTTTTGATTTCAAACTTAGGGTCGAATATTGATCTAGTTAATTCAATCACAAAATTGTCTTTTTCTTCAATTGAAGGGATAGTGAGATACATGTTGTATATTTCATCCGGGTCTAAACCCAAACTATCACAACAATAAATAAAAGTATCGGTATGAACTGCTTCTTCAAAAGCCTGTCGCAATAAATATTGTCGGCATTCGGGGTTAGTGACATGACGATAAACGGCCAAAACTAGATTATTAGCGGTTAATGACTCAGCAGTAGAAAAAAAACCTAAATTCCAAATAATTAATTTCCGTTCGGCTGGACTGAGGGAAGTTGAAGATTTTCATTGCCCAATATCAGACTGCATAGCAATTTCTTCTGGAACCCAATTATTAGCAATACCATCTTTATAATATTTGCGGGCTCATAAATATTTCATCGGCAAAATCTTGTTCGGGTCAGTCTGGGAAGAACCAAAAATAGTTCGAGTATCTTTTTTAGGGAAAGGATTAGTAGAAGTCATATGATTAATTTTAGTGATTTACTATTTCACTCAAAAGAGACAAAATTAAAGGTTAGCAACACCAAAATTTAGCAAAAACAATTTGCTTCACATAGTAATTAATAAAATTAGTGAAAAAATAAATTATAAAGAATGAATAATTCAGAAAAAGAACTGAGGATTTTGCTAGGGTTAGAAATCCATATTACGGTTAACAGTCAAAAAAAAATCTTTAATTGAGAGGATACTTACAAAGGAGATGCTTCCCCCAATAGCCAAGTGGGAACCTGAGAATTAGGTTATTTAGGAGTTCTTCCCATAATTAATCCCGAAGTTATTCAACTAGGACTAAAATTAGCCTCCGCTTTGGAAATGAAAATTAGTCCAACCATTCTTTTTGACCGCAAGATTTACAATTATTTTGATTTACCCAAAGGCTACCAAATTACTCAGCAAGAAAACCCTTTTGCTACTAATGGACACTTACCGATTATCCAAGAAAATAAGATTGAAAAAATACCAATTAAAGTTCTCCAATTAGAAGAAGATACTGCCAAAAGCACTTATTCAAAAGAGGGAATTAAATTAGACTTTAATCGGGCAGGCAATCCTTTAATTGAATTAGTTACTGAGCCAGTTTTTTCACAAGTAGAAACTGTTTTAATATTTATTAAGCAATTACAAAATCTTTTGCGTTATTTAGAGGTTTCAGAAGCCAAAATGGAACAAGGGCAATTACGAGTCGATTTAAATTTTTCTTTGAAATTAGGAGACAATTACTCTACCCCTCGTTATGAAATAAAAAATCTTAACTCGCTAACTAATATTAAAAAGTCCTTAAAACATGAAATTAACAAACACCAATTATTATTTTCCCAAGGACAAAAACCTCCCACCAGTCAAACACTTGGATTTGATGAAGCCCAACAAATTACGATTACTCACCGGGAAAAAACTAATTACTATTATTTACCGGAAGTTAATATTCCCCCCATTAAATTGAAAGGTGGAGAAATCAAAAAAATAAAGAAAGATCTTCCCAAATTACCTTGACGCTATTGAGAGGAATTGAAAGAAATAGATCCCAAAACTGCTAATGAAGTTATTAAAATCCCCCTTTTAATGAAGATATTTAACTTGTTGGAAAAGAAAAAATTTTTGGCAAAGGAAGAATATAAAAACTGATTGACTTTTTATCTTAACTATTTAACTCCCCACTTAGGAGATAGAAATATTGATTTATTTAGCAAAAATCCAAAATCTTATTATGAACTCTTTCGCCACTGAAAGGAAAAAAAGTTAGATAATGAAGAAATAAAATCAATAATCAAAGAGTTAACAGAAACCAAAAAAAACTTTGCTTCACTAATCAAAAAATATGAAAAAAAGGTTGATATTAACGAAAATCTAATAGAAAAAGAACTAAAAAAGTTGTGAAATGATGAATTAGCAAAAATGATGATTACTAATCGGCAAAAAGTTCAGAATTATCTTTTAGGTCAAATCAGAAAAAAATTCCCTGACTATCCACCAAAAGAAATTATTTTAATTATCACTGATTTTTTAAAAGAAAATTAAGGCTAAAATTAATTTTTATGTTTAGATTTAACCTTTTTTCCTAGTTCATTTTTAATCACTTTAACTTTTCTGGTATTTCAAAAACCTTTCCATTTAGATAAGAAAGTGGAGGAGGCAAATCAACAAATAATATTTGGTAGGCTAATAAATAAATCTTATTTTTTATTTCTATTTTACTGCCATATTTTTTATCGCCAATAATTGGCAGTCCAAAATAGGATAAAATGCTGCGGATTTGGTGTTTTCTTCCCGTATGTAAAGTAATTTCTAATATTTGGTAGGTGTTCCTTTCACTAACTTTTTTCACTTCTAACGCACAAAACTTGGCTTGAGGATTGGTTGGCTTCAAGGAAAATTCCATTTTTTGTTCTTTGCTGTTTTTTCCTAAGTACCCACTAATATAAGGAGGGAATGTTTTCTTTGGCATCTTTTCGCAGATCGCTAAATATTTTTTAGTTATTTTACTTTTGTCAGCAATGGCCTTGTATAATATTTTCTTAGCCAGCGGATTTTTTGGATAAATAACCAATCCTTTGGTCAATTTATCAAGTCGGTGAGCAGCAGTCAAGACAAAAAAGTTTTCTATTTGTCGCTGATACTCCACCGGATTTTTTTCTGATAAATAATGTCGAACTGCGTTGTCTAAACTCGGCATAGTTATTCCATGCTCTTTGAGAACAAGCAGAACATTTTTATCCTCATAAATAATTTCAAAGTATATTTTAGACTGCGAAAGGGGATAAATGGTTAAATTAGACTGTTGTAAGTGGCTATCATAAATTTCAATTTTTTCTCCTCCTTTTAGACGATGATGATAATAGCGAACATTTTCCCCATTAATTTTTATTTTTTTAGTGCGAAATAATTTGTAAATCAGACTTAAAGGGGTGGTTTTAAACCTTTTTTTGAGAAAACTGATTATGGTTTGGTCGGTCTCTTCTTTTTGGATAGTAAAATTAAGCATTAATTAAATAATTTTTCTGCTTTTCCTGTGCCAAACCTTGTTATTTTTCTTTGTTGCTAATCCAATTGCTACAAATAACTCCACCTCCCATAACTCAATCAACTGGAAAGTTATGGTCTAATTTTTGTTTTTGAGTATTTTTATTCTTTCGGTTTTGTTATCTGTTTGCCGCAGATTAGTATTTTGATTATTTTGTCGCCATTTTTTTATCACGACGACGGGAGCGAACAATTAATATTGCTCCAACCACTACCCCAATTACAGCCACCCCAGACAATCACATTGCTGGATTGTTTGGGCGGAAGAAATTACCGTCTTTATTTTGCTGACTAGACTTATTTTTGGCTTTTTCTAGTAATGAATTAACCATATCCTTTTTCTTGCTATAAGCATTTTGAGCATACTCATTAGAACTATCCTCAATAAATCTTCGTAATTCTTCAACCTTACTCTTAATTTTCTTTTTATCACCTAGTTTTATGGTTCGCTCGACTTCAGAAATTAATTTATCCAAGGATTTCACTGCTGACTCGTTCAAAATTTCGGTCCTTATGTTTTGGTACTCAGCAGGTTCGATATTTATCTCATTCAATTTGTCTAACCTTTGCTTGTTTTCTGGACTTAAATCACCTGATCTTATTCCGAATTTCTTTAATTCTTCTTCTACTTCGGTCTTAATCATTTTCCTTAACTCTTCTTTATCAACCTCGCCTAATTTTTTCTCGACCTCTTCCCTTTCTTTTTTTAAATCCTGGTCAGAACTATTTTTTGCTGTATTCCTAGTTTCGTTAAGGGCATTCACCAAGTCTTCTTTTTTGCCACTATCTTTAACTTCATTTAACTTACTTTTGGCATCATTAACCTGCTCTGTAGTGGGTTCGGGATTTCGAGGTGGTTGGTCTTGATTATCTGATTGATTTCTTAATGTCGCCAACTCTTTTTCCAGACTATTAATCATTTCTTGATATTTTTGTTTTTCTTTTTCATCAGAAGTTTTAAGCAACCTTTCCTTGTAAAATTCAATTTTCTCCTTTATTTCTTCTACATATTTGGGAGTGTAATTTGGAGTATATTTCCCTTCATCACTTCATCCATTTTTATCATTCGGAGAAAAGTTTTTGTTTGAATAATTTGACCTTTCATTATCATCTTTTCCTCTTGGTGGCTGTGAATAGTCTGAGTAGTTATTGTTATAATTATCTTTATTACTGCCATAATGGTTAGTATTATTAGCGTTAATTTTTTTTCATTTTACTTTATTAATAGCAATCTTCATATCAGCTATAAAATCATCTAAATCACTACTAACAGAGTTTTTGAGTTTTTCTTTCCAATCACCATAAGGAGACCATAAACTAGAATCCAACTCAGAAATAGATACATTGGATGAGGTTAAATTTTCTTCAATACTCCGTACGGCTTCACTTCGAACTTTTTCTTCTTCCTGCCTACGGTTCTCTTTAAATTCATTAAATCCCCTTTCTGTCTCATCAAATTGCCTTCTTACCTTTTCCAACATTTCTTCAAACTTTTTAAATTTATCATCTGAACTAAATCCGTTAGAAGATCCAGACTTTTCTTTACCTGATAAAACACTATACGCTTCGCCAACTTCTATAAACTTCCCCTTGGCTCATTCTTCATTACCACGATTTTTATCAGGGTGGTATTTTAAGGCTAATTCTTTGTAAGCCTTTGTTATTTCTTTCTGAGTAGCACCTGGTTTAATTCCTAGGATTTTATAATATTTTTCTGACATAGTTTTTTAGTGTTAGTTCTAGTATTATTTAATGTTCAGAGAGAGAGAGAGAGAGAGAGACAACTTAAATCTCTTTCAATCATCACTCACTTTCTAACTCCTTAATTAATTTTATATTTATAAAGTTTTTAATCCTAATGCTTAATATAAACAACTAACTTGTTTTTGGCTAATTCTTTAATCCTTTCTTGAAACTTTTCCTGGTTATCTTGGTCCAAAGCATTATCGGCTTCGTCAAAAAGAAAGATTTGAGCCTGCTTTTTTTGCTCCAAAACCTGATTAATATTCGCCAATTGTTTTTGTCCAGTAGAACCTTCCTCAATTAGAGTATCATGAGCACAATAAGCCACATTATTTTCTCGCCAGTGTTTCAAATTAATATCCTTATGTAAATTATAAATATTTCCTCTTTCGTCTTCAATAAGTATTCGTCCTTTTTGGGGAGTTACCATTCCTAACAGGAGGTATAAAATGGTGCTTTTACCACTACCATTTTTGCCTGTTAAGCGATTTATTTTAGCGGATGAAAAGGTGCGATTATAATTTTTTACCACTCATTCTTTTTGTCCTTGATAATGAAAAGAGACATTTTCATAAATAACTGATTTTATTTTAATATCTTTTTCTAATTTTATCTTTTCTAAGTTATCATTTTTTTCAGGGAGAACCAGAAAGTTATTAACTCGCTCCTTGGAGGATGAATAATCCGCATAATCCCAAAAGCATTCAAAAATCTGTCCAAAATTCTCAAAAATAAATCACATTCCCAATAAATTTTTTTGTGCTATTTCAAAAACGCCACTTACAAATATCAAAAGATAAGGAAACATTTCGGCTAACCAGTGGTGGGGAATGGTTTTATTAAGTGATTTAATTGGACCAAAAGAATAAAGCAACTTTTCATTTTTTTTACTTATTTTTCTTTGTTCAGCACGATAGTGGGAGGTTAAACCCATACTATCAATTAAAATGGCTTGGTTGGTTTCTTTTTTTTGTGTCGCCCACTCTTTAGTCAACTCTTTTTTATACTTTTTATCATTTCTTAAAACTAGTTTGGTGAAAAAATAACTAATAATATTAATTAGTAATAATCAACTAAAAGAAAAAACGGCTTCTTTAGCCCCCATTTGGCTAAACTTGTCTCATTTTATCCAAATCAAGAGAATAATAGTGAGAGTGCTATGGTAAACATGATTAGGTATATGTTCCCAATAATGACCAATTTCGCCGGAATCTAATTCAACCAAAGTGTTAATTTCCTTTTGGCGAGCCTGTTTTTCTTCCAGAGGTAATTGCCGAAATTTATCTAATAGAACATTTTTAGTATAATGTCCTCCTTTAATTCTTAACTCTTCTTCTCATAAACTAGAAAAATAAAAAGTGAGGGCAAAAAGACCAATCAATATTAGTCCCCAAAGAGCAAACTGCTTTAAGGTTAAATTAGGGGAAAATCGTTGTAATTTTTCTGGCAAAATTGTTGAATAATTACCATTAGTTAATTCCCTTTCATCAACAATGTTGCTGACAGTGGCCAGGACAAAAGTCAAAAGGACCGTTCAAACCGTAGTAATTAAAAAATGCCTAATTACTTCAAACTTAAATTTTTTGTATAAAGTTCAAAAACCGATTTTTTTTTTCAAAAATTTGGAATTGGGGGAAGTGTTGTTCTTCATCATAAAACTTATTGAATATGTTTTATACGCGTTTTATTTAGGTTTTCCACCAAATCTTTTCCGTAATTCTTCCATTTGTTTTCTTAGTTTAGGGTCATTCATTACCCCAAAAATACCCTCTTTTTCCATTTTCTTTTGAAGGGCTTGAGCCTTTTTGGTATGCTCGATAAATTCTTTTCAACTTTTAATCCCCATGGCTTTTTTGATTTGATGAGTTATGTATCAAAACATTAAACCAGCACCAATAATTACACTAACAGGAATAATAACAAGAAAGAGCAAGTAAGCATTTATATTCATATATTAATTTTAAGAATAGTTTTTGTTTCGAACACGATTTATTCTCGAAAAACTTAAAGAAATTTTTCGATGATTAAAACCAATGAAAAGGCAATAAAAAAGGTTTTTATCGCTTAAAAGTTAACGACCAATATCGCATTATTTTTAAATGAGGAAATGGTAAGCCTTATGAAATTGAATTTAATAAACATTACTGGGATTAGGAATAAATTAAATTAATGGAGTCTCAAACTAAATTTACTACTAACTATGTTAGAAAAAGTTGACTAGACATTTTTCAACAAAAAGGTTATCATTTAATAGAACCTGCTTCTCTTATTCCCCAAAATGACCCTTCCTTATTATGAATTAATTCGGGAGTGGCTACTTTAAAAAAATATTTCAATAATCCTGAGTTGGCTCCGGCTCGCAATTTGGTTAATTGCCAACGAGTAATCCGCACTGATGACTTAGCGAATATTAACGCCCAATCTTATCACCAAACTCTTTTTGAAATGCTGGGTGATTTCTCTATTGGTAGTAATTTTAAGCCCGAGGTTATTCCGATTATCTGAGAATGATTTACTTCCCCACAATGGTTAAATATGAATCCCCAAAATCTTTTTATTACGGTTTGGGAGAATGATAAAAAAAGTTTAGAAGTCTGAAAAAAACAGGGAATAAAAGAAAGTCATATCCTTTTTGGTAGCAAAAAAACTAATTTTTGGGATATGGGCGATGGACCTTGTGGCCCTAATACCGAAATATATTTTGACTTTCAGCCGGAAAATGACTTGCCAAAAAAAATTGAGGAATTAGATAATAAGCGGTTTATTGAAATTTGTAATATTGTTTTCCCCGAATTTTACCATAAAGGGGAGGAATATTTACCACTAGCAGAAAAGTGTGTGGATACTGGGGCTGGATTAGAACGAATTGCTATGGTTCTCCAAGGCAAAAAAAATACTTTTGAAATTGATTTATGAGAACCAGTTATTAAGTTAATAGAAAGTTATTGCCAAGAAAGCAGAAAATAAATTATGGTTAGAAAATGTTCTAAATGCCAAAAAGAAATAATTTCTGGCAAATTTTATAATTTTTTCGTTGGTTTAGAAAATGGCCGAAAGATAACTGAATATCAGGATTACGGTTTTTATTGCCCTCCCTGTATGAAAAAAGAAAAAATAGATGATAAAATGTATGGCGAAAACTTGTTTGAAGTTGAATGAGAAATAGGAAATAAAACTGACGAAGAGGTGCTAGAATTTGAGGAAAAATGAGGCAAGTATATCACCTATGGAAACGATAGAAGATATTTAGATAATAAGTTTATAAATAAAAAAGATGGTGATAAAAAGTCTCTTCTGACTTGGTGCCAACAAGTTCGTCAGGAGTTAGAACCTTATCTTCAAAAAATCAATGTAGTAGAGAAAAGTTGAGGCGGAAAGGCTAAAAATCGCGGTCAGCGGGAAATGGGAGTTCATTATTTGTTTGCCCGGTCTGCCCGAGAGGAAAATTATCGTAAAAAAGTAGTTGAACCAACTGTTGCCAAGATTTTGGGTGTAGAAAAATTAGACCAAGAAATTAACACCATTACTACCGGTAATGACCCCGGCGGTGGCGACGGCTTTACTGGTGGCAAACTAAAAGTTAATGGAATAGACATACCCTATTGTTGAACCGACGATAAGAAGGATTGTCGTCAAATAAGGTTTAATTTCGCTAATGTTAAATTAGCCCTCCAATCTTTTTTAAGAGCCCTGGATATTAAAGAAAAGAATTAAAAGGAGAAACACCAGAACCAAATCAGCCAGTTAATAACGAAAAAAACAGTCCACCGCCATCCCAGCCAGGTAATCAAAATGACAATAATAAAACTGAAAATTCTCCACCCAATAAACCGAAGTATGCTTTATGAATAAGTTTGAGCGCGGGAGTAATTTTACTTACTGGATTAATTATTTGGCTTTTTACAAAAAGAAAAAAAAAAACTAATTATTTATAATTAACGCTCTCTTACTTTCTTGAAAAATTAAGAAAAAATTTCCTCCTCTTTGAAAAATAATTTTATCTCCCTTGTCGCGGCTTCAGCACTATCTGAACCATGAACTGCATTAGCATTATCGATACTTACTCCATAAATTTTTCTAATCGTTCCCTCTCGGGCTTGCTTGGGGTCAGTGGCTCCCATAATTTCACGATTAAGTTTTATCGCATTTTCACCTTCTAGGCAAATTACTACTACTGGTGAACTACTCATGAATTCGGTCATTCCTTTAAAAAATGCCTTGGCATTATGTTCTTGATAAAAAATTTCGGCTAATTGGGGGGTCAAGCGGACCATTTTCATTCCGGCTATTTTTAGGCCTTTTTTTTCTAAGAAATTAATAATTTCACCAATTTGATTTTTTTTAATGATATCGGGTTTGATAATGGAAAGGGTTCTTTCAATAGGCATATATAATTATTATTTTTCTTACAATACCTTCTACTACCACTAACTAATTAAAAGTAATTTAGCCTGAACTATTAATTCCGCATAATTATCCTGACTTAACCCTTGTAAATAATTTTCTACTTGGGAAGGAACAATTTTTTCTCTCCTTACTTTTTCTAGATAATGGTGAAATTCCTCCTTCTGTTGCTTATCCAATTTGTTATAAAAAGTAATTAGTTCATAATAACTAGTTAATTTATTGTTTTCTTGTTGATTTCTATTGCTAGTCTTGGCATGTTATTTTATTTTTAATATTTTTCTCAATGATAATTCATTAATAAATAGTTTTTTAAATATTTAGTTATTTCCTCATGCAGAAAATCATGTCCCCGCCAAATATCAATATTGAAAAGAACTGCGTGGGAAATTTCATGGGCTATCAACTCTACCAAATTCATTATTAATTTAAGTGAATATTCTTTTTGACAATAAAGAGGATTAAGAATAACTCAACTTTCACGATGGGCGGGAAAAGTAAGTAATACCTGACTTGGTTTGTTCCAATTTTCGCAAGGCACTAGCAAAATACTTTTCTTGACACGCATCAATTCCTAAATTAGTCAGTATCTCCTGATTATCTAATATTTGCTGATAAATTTTTTCACTAAAAACCCTTTAAAAGAAAATTACCCACCAAATTTGGCTGAATTAACTTCTTTTTTATCTCTAAAATAACTATTCATAAAAAAGAAAACCTGACCTTTGCTAACTATCGTGATAAATTTTCGCTATTTTTGATAACGACAATTATTTTTTCTTTTCTTCTTGGCTATAACTAAGCCTGTTCCTGCTGCCACAATCGCTATTCCGATTGTTCCTGACACTAAATAAATGGGAGTATGGTCGGGTTTTTTTGCCTCTGGTTGAAGGTTATTCTGCTTGTTTGGTGGTGGGAGGTTCCCCCCGTGGGTGGTTTGCTCTCTCTCTCTCTCTCTCTCTCTCTCTGCATTTGTGTGTGTGTTATCATTGTTACCAGTTTGGGAAGAGGAGTTATCAGAGTTCGGAGAAAAATTTGGCTTGTCTTCATTGTTAAAATTATTTTCCTGCTCTCTTTTGTTCTTTTCTTTCTCCTCCAATTTTTTTTGTTCGGCTTCCTCGGCTTCTCGCTTTTTGCGTTCCTCCTCTTGCTTTTCTCTTAATTCTTCTTGCCTCTTCCTTTCTGCTTCGGCTTTTTTGCGGGCTTCCTCAGCCAAACGGGCTTTATCTGCCTCTGATTTGCTTTTGTAGTTCTCAGCAAAACCAATTAAAAAATCCCTTTCAGCCTGGCAAATGTCTTCCATTTTGTTATTAGGATCGTAAATTTTTTTTCATTTGCCATTTTCGGTCGGACTAAGAACTGAGTGAGCGTCAATAATGGTACCACCTGCCACAGTCGCAAACACTTGGCTAGTTATGTGTTCACGAATAAATTCTTCTTTGGCAAGATTAAGGAGATAAATAGGTTCTTTGATAAGGGCAAAAAAAACATTACTGATTCCTTTTAACTCAGTTTCTAACTGATTGTCTAATGACTTAATTTTATTAACTAGATCCTCTACTTCATCCAACTTTTTGTCCCTCAAGCATTTATTATAATGTTCTTTGCATAATCAAAAATTACCAACTTTAAAGTCCCCTTCCACCTCACAAAAACACTCTGGACAACCATGTTTTTCGCAAAAAAGAGGATTTTTACCATCTACTATTTTAACATATTCATTACAAGAAGCACAAGGGTCAATATAATAAATTATTTTATTTATTACCCCGTTTCTCTTTGGGTTCCTGGCCCCGTAATTACATATTTTTTGTGTGTTTCAACCTCATGCCATAATACTCATTTTACTCACCACCATTTACTAATTTACTCTTTTTTATAATTTGTATTATAATTATAACTTATTATTTTAATTTTGGAGCCTTTTTGCTAAGTTTTCTCAATTTTTTAAGTTGACTTGTTAACTCATTTATTATTTTGCTTTTTTCCTCACAGCACCAACAACCATAACAGCAAGCAGTTTCGCAACCTTCACCATCACACTCCATTACTTTTCTTTTGTGTTTAAAACTATTACTATTAACATAAGTGCGGAGTATGTTTCTCTTTTTTTCACTAGTAATTTTTTCTCAAAAAGTGTATTTGTTTCATTTGTAAAGAGAAATTAAACAATCGTTGCAAATATACTTTTCTTTGTTCTCCTCTTTTTCGGTTCAATAGCCTCAGTTATTTTTTTGGGTATATTCACCACGGGAGCGGTTATATTTAACTTCAAAAATTTTGGCACATTTACTGCCTAAAGGAGGAGTATAAAAACACTCTACTTTTAAAGGTTTTTGAATTGTTTTTTTCTCTTTATTGCTTATTTTTGTCATGAGATTCTATTTTTTAAAACATTTTCTATGAACGGTGAAAATTAATAGCATAGCAGTGAACTTATTCTTGGCAATTAGTGAAAAAATTTCTAAAAAGAAGGAATTGGCAAAATTCATCTTACTCTGATAATTGGCAATCGCCCTCAAAATGAGTTTACCAGCCAAAATATTTGCGGACCCTTTAATTGTAATTGAAATCTAGCAAAATGTTAGCAAGGATTGAAGATTTTCAGGTTATAATTTAGTTTTTGTTGTTTTTTTTCTTCTCCAACTAATTTAGGCACTTCTTTTTTCTCGTCTACTAATGTCTTCTTAAACTCCTTTTTAATCATTTCCAAAGACTCTAATTTTTTTTGGTTGTTGGGAGTTTTGTCTTTTTTACTTTTTATTTCTTCTTCCAACTTAGTTAATCGTTGAAAAATGTCAATTTTGCTTTTGATATCTTTATGCTTACTTTCGGTTTTTAGTTGGTCGTAGGTTATCTCCTTAGTAATTTTGTTTTGTAATTGTAATTTTTCAACTTCGGCTGCTAATTTCTTTCTTTCGAAATAATAATTTAGTAAAATTGAAAGCAGAGGGACTAACAATATTCCTAATATCACTAAAAGATAAATTAAGGTTTCATTCATAATGTTTATTTTTACTTTTCTGGCTTTTGCTCTTATTACTACTCCTCAACCAATTAAAATAGGAAGCGAAACATAAAATGAATATCCAGTTAAGCAAATATAACACTTGGTTCATTTTTCTTTTCCTTTTCTATGTTTTTTACGAATATGGAGTCCCCACCGATTTCCCATTTCTCTTCCAATTGCCCTTCCAAATACCATTTTCCATTAAATAATTTTCTATATATGCCTATTAAAATTGGTCTAGTTGGTTTGCCGAATGTTGGCAAGTCTTCCTTATTTCGTTTTTTAACCAAAAAAGACATCAAAGATATCGCTAATTATCCGTTCGCCACTATTGAACCTAATATTGGTGTAATGCCGCTGACTGACTCTCGCCTGGAAAAGTTGAGTAAACATTGAAAAAGTAAAAAAACCACTCCCAGTGTAGTTGAGATTGTGGATATTGCTGGCTTGGTAAAGGGTGCTTCGCAAGGTTCTGGATTAGGAAATGAATTTTTATCCCATATTCGGGAAGTAGATTTAATTTGCCATGTCCTCCGTTGCTTTTCCGAAAAGGAAATAGTTCATGTTGAAAAATCAGTGGATCCAATTCGAGACTTTGAAATAATTCAATTAGAGTTAATTTTGGCTGATTTACAGCAAGTAAGTAAGAGATTAGAAAAGTTAAGGGTATGAAACGAAAAATCTCAAAAAGAAAAAAGGGTTTTGCAGTTAATTCAGGAAAATTTGGAAAAAGAAATGCCAATTAGCAAATTAGATTTACCAACTGAAGAAAAAGAAATAATAAAAGGTTATAATTTTCTGACCAGCAAGCCCATTTTTTTGCTGGCTAATTATGGAGGAGAAGAAAAAGAAATTAAAAAACTGAGGGAATATTCCGAAAAAAAAGGATTATTACTCTTTCCTTTAGCAGTTAAATTAGAAGGAGAAATAGAAGAACTATCCGTGGAAGAAAGAGAAGAAATGGGCTGAAAAAACACTGATTTTTCGTTCTTGACGGAAAAGATTAAAGAATCATTAAGTTTAAAAACTTTTTTCACGACCGGCGAAGACGAAACTAAAAGTTGGCTGGCTAAAAAATCAATAAATGCCCGTGAATGTGCTGGTTTAATTCATTCTGATATTCAAAGAGGTTTTATTCGTGTCGAAGTGTATAATTATACCGACTGGTGTCATTTTCTGAGTAAAGAAGAATTAAAAAAGGCTGGTAAAATTCGCAAAGAGGGGGCTGATTATCTTATTCAAGAAGGTGATATTTGTTATTTTCTTTTTGGGAAAAGTTAGCATGCTAAAATCCCCTAACGCTCTTTTAAAGAGACATACATGGACCATATTTGGAAATAAATACCTTTTTTATATAGTTCACATTTAGGACTTGTTTTTAATTTTTTTAACTACTAACTAATTAATTAAACCAGTATATCATCATCAGTATATAATGCGGTTACTCTCTTGTAAATCCTGCCATTTTGTTCACTTTCTTCGTATTCAATTTCAATATTGATAGGAGTCGGACTTTTATTTAAAATGTCTCAACCCTCTTTTACCAATCTTTCAAAACAAAAATAAGCCTCATCCCGATTCTCATTATTTACAATCAAGTAATAAGGATTAAGATTCTTATCTTCTAATCTTTTAATCTCAAAATTATTTAGTTTAATGGTTGCCATTGTATTCATTTTTATATATTATTAATTTTACTAATCAGAACTTTTTTTGAAAGCTCTAAATTTCCTTTTTGTCTATATACAATTTTCAAGTATATGACAGAAAACTTAATAACCTTAAATAAAAAAGACGGAACTTCGAGATTAGCCGAAGCAAAACCACTAATCAAAATTCAAGGAACTTTAACTTCTTCCATCCAACTCCGCGGAGAAGAAACCCAAGAACCCTACTATTATGCCTTTATCAGACTTAAAGGACAAAATATCGACTTACCAGTCATTTTTAAGATAAAAGATGACCAAGAAAACCCCACTAAACCAGAACTGAAAAAGAATGATGGTGTTGAAATAACTGGTCATTACTCTAATTCTCCTCACAATGTCCATAAATCTTTTACGGCTTATTCTTACCAACTCTTACATGAGAAAAGAATCCGTAAAAAATGCGTTGGTTGTTGTGATACTTTCACCTGTTCCCAGTCTAAGAATTATGACTACTGTAAAAATTGCGAAATTAACGGCAGCCGTTATGTCCCTCGCGAAAATAAATGTCCTGAATGTGGGGATGGTAGCGGAACCATTAAATTTCCCAACCAGCCTCCTCGTTCTTGTAAAACTTGCTCCTTAAAAAACCAAGCCATTTTAGCCGAAAGTAGGGAACAATTACCCAAGTTTGAAAAAGAGTTGGAGGAAATTATTCAAACTCGGCAAAGATTACAAAGCCATGAATAATCAACTATTAACCGGTTCCATCCTCGAAAGCAAAAAAGCCAAAGTCTATAACCATTGACCAGGTTGTTCTCCGCCTGATTGTCAAACTGGTTGTCGTTATCATCAAGCATTTTACAAACTAAAAGTCAAGATTGACCATAAACCAATCCAAAATATCTCGGTTTTTGCGGATAAATTAGCCAATCCCAACAAGGTTCTGAAAGTCTTAACCACTAATAAATTCCTCGATAAAAGATATTCTTTTACTTGTGTTACTCATTACGGCAATTATCACCTAATTGACTGACAAGAATTAACCGCTCATGAAAAACCTTAACACCATCCAAAAAAAACTCAAATTCCATTGTTCCGTTTGCCAAGCTACTTGACAGTTGCTAAT